TGACTTTGCTGCCTATTGGAACTTGCTAGATAAAACATATATAGTATAAATTAAGGCAGACAAGGTTGAACTTTTTCTTTTGTTCAAGATTGGTTACTTGGAACTCTAGCTCACCAAGTGTGGTGATAGGTTTTCATTAAGCCACGTTGCTCTTAAAGTCCTTTGCAAAAAGACAGACAAAGCTGTGGTTCAAAAATGTGCGTGTGTGTGTGTGGTGTTTTTTTTTTTTCTCTTGCAACATCTAATCCATGTGTTTTTAATTTTATAAAACTCAGGTTGTCCGTAAGAAATTCTAGCTGAGAGGGTTCTCAACGCGAAGCTTATAAATTTAGCAAAATTAAATGTTATAATTCATCTTTATCTTTTTGTTAGTTAGTTGCTAGTTTAATAATGTTCATCCTTCTTAATATATGTTAAAATAATATTAAATTTTAGAAATAAAAACTTTTAACCAGACAATATTCACAAAAAAGAAGAAGAACAAAGTACACATTTTATTCTTCTTCATACGATTAATTTACTTTATACTAAAGCACCAAAGGACTTCATATTCACTCATAAATATGAAACAACTTAAATTTCATCTCTTTTTTTAATGAAAGCCTAGGCTTATTCCTAAACTAAATGCAGGAATAGGATACCGGTGTTTATTTTAGTTGAGATTTTTTTTTTTTTGGATGGGGTAGGTAAACAGAAGACCGATTGCCTTATCTTAATACTATATCACAAGGCTAACTAGTAAGACAGAATTTCGCCCACTCTCTTTCCTTATTTCCACTTGGTTTTAAGTTTTGTGTCTTTTTGTAGTGAGCCAACCAATCCTCACTAGCCTTTGTCTTTGCCTTTGCTTTTGCTTAGCAGCAGTGAATAGAAATTAGGGAGAGTTCAGTACTGTGACAATATTGGTTGAGTCTGCTAAATATTTTATTTTCCACAAATAAAGGAGAATGCCATTCCTTTAATTCCTTGTATTTGTCTCCATTGTCATTAAGGTATGGGGTGTTATCAGTTTACTGTCTTACTAATAATATGGCTATGCATTCTACATTTTACAGTTCTATATTTCATCTTAACTATTTTTGCACAAGTAGGGAAACATGAAAGTAGCAGTAGTTGGGGCAGGAATAAGTGGACTTGTTTCTGCATATGAATTGGCAAAAGCTGGTGTTAAAGTTGTGGTTTATGAGAAGGAAGATTATCTCGGCGGCCATGCCAAGACTGTTACTGTTGATGGTGTTGATCTTGACCTTGGTTTTATGGTCTTCAATCGGGTACGTATATTTCCTAAGTACAAATATAACACATGGATATGGTTCTTGTTCAACATATGTAAAAAGTGAGGTCTCTAGATTTTTTCTATTTATGTAGGTAGAAGGGGAGCTTAGATCAGCTGTTATTGGTTTGATTTATAGGTTACGGGTTTGAGCCGTAGAAACAACCAATAATAATGGCATTAGTATATGACTGTAAATTGTCTAAATCACACTTCTTGAAATACGATTTTTTTCCGTACTCTACGTGAATATAGAATGTCTTGCGCACCCGACTAACCTATGCTTCTATCTAGATACGTAGGAGACAAGATAAGCACGGTCTATAGTCTTTAGCTCTTTATGACAAATAGAGAAAATAATTAGAGATAATCAACTCTTTGTTTAATAAAATCTCGAACGATCTACATTTGTCATAATTGTTCACAAGGATATAAAGTGCAAAGGGATGATTCTGCTATGATGTAGTGGTAACCCCAGTCACTTATCACATATGATTTTGATTTGCTAGTGAATTTTTAGGACATACTAGTTAAACTACTCTATTTATCCAATGTCAAATTTTAAAGGAAGTCTACAATAATATACAATAGGTTTAAGGATGTTTATTTTTAGTTGGTTCAAAACTTACCACGCGTTCTCTTGTGAGTCGTTCATGAACTTCATGTGTGGGGGTGGGGTGGGGGAGGGCTTATCTTGTCTTTCGAAATAGACATGCAGTTCGACTATGTTTTTATTAGAATTGAAAATTATATTTTCGAAATCTCTTTCATACTTTATAGAACAAGTTTATCTTTATTAGAATTGAAAATTATATTTTTATACTTAAAAATATTTTAACATACGGAAAGGAACAGGAGAAGATACGTACTAATCGTTATGTGGTCGGAAAGTAAATTTAGGCTCAATGAGTAGTGTGACAATAATAATAAAACAAAATGCCACTAGATACTTGTCGGACCGTATGGCTGTTCGTGTTTGTCACATTATTTAGTACTCTCAATTTATTTAGTGTCACTTAACTTGGCGAAAAACTTAAAAAAAAAAAATAAAGATGAAGTTTTTGATAAATAAGCTTAGTAGGCGTTTGGCCATAGATACCAAAAACAAATTAGAGCAAAGTTTGTGAAGTTGAGTTAAAAAATTATATTTGGAAGTTGAAGTGTGTTTGGATATGCATTTTACTTAAAATAAATAAAGTTACAGTTTTATGATTGGGGAAAATACTTTTTTCCGGAAAACTTGAAAAAATGGTACCACTTTTTTGGTTTTTTTAAAAAAATATTTTTGAAAAATCTCCAAAAACTTATACATTTTTTATGAACAAATACGTTTTTGGAAAAAATAATTGAAAATAAGTAAAAATGTGTATGGCCAAACGCCTCCTTCATGTGTAACATCAAAATTACCTTTCTAGTGGGATTCATACAAGTCATATCAACTCCTAAAAGAGCATCTTATTAAAGGCAAAATTGAAAAGTAATACTTTATAGAAACTATTTAGAAGTTAGAACGGACGAAAAAAATTGTCAAACAATTTAAGGCAGAAGAAGTACAATACAAATAAAAGGCGGAGCTAGGACTTAAAGTTTATGGGTTCAGAATTTTGGTCTTTTTACGTTACTAGATTATGAATTAGGATTAATAATTTATATATTTTTAATCGATTTTTTTAAATAAATATACAGTTTGGACTAAGTTACCGAATTGAGTTGAACCTCTAATTTGACCGTGATACAAATATGTGTTAGCATGTGTGTGAGAGAAATGTAAAGGGCCAAAAGCTTCCACGTTTAATTATTAGGTGGACTAGATACTTCAATACTAATGACGGTACTATTATTACGACATACATTTTTTTATTAGTAACCACTTTGTAGCTAGACGTCGTTTTCTTGTGAATTTGTCGAACTATTGGAAGGTAATAGAAATTTAAAATGGATTAGGAATAGGGAAAAGATATAGCAGACTTATCGCTAAATAAGGGTAAAACTACCATAGTGAAGGTCTCGAACGTGACAAATTGCCTATGCAACAGCCAACAGCACATAAATGTCCAGTGCAAAGTACAAGTATCAGTTCCCCCCATTTAGGATATCTCCCATATTGGACACCGTAGCTCATTAGGATGAGATGTTAAACATGCAATCAAGAAGCAACAAGAAATATTCTCCCCCCATCGGAACGGGATGGGATGGGGGAGTTGGTCTACTTATATAGCTTGAGCAATCCTCAATGAGTTAGGTTTTTGGGGTTGAGTTAGACCAAATATCTATTTTTTTAACATGGTATCAGAGTCACTCATCCTAATTCTTTGTTTCACTGATGTTGGATCCCATATTTATATTGTCCACGCTTTAGTTGTCGGGCATGAGCGTGCAGGTGTTGAATCTCCCACGTTGGAACGGGGTGGGGAACTTTCTTTAACATGGTATCAGAGTGGGGCTCATCCTAATTTTTTGTTTCACCGATGTTGGGGTGCCATATTTATATTATTGTCCATGCTCCAGTTGGCAGGCGTGGTGTGCGAGTGTTAGTCTCCCATATAGGAATGGGGTGGGGAACTTGGTCTCATTATACTATATGGCTTAGGCAACTCTCAACCTCATGATCTAACTTCCTAAATTCTTTCTTTAAGAGAAATAGCAAAACTAAGAGTAAAATATGCTGACAACAACAACACGAACACTTCCTAGTGCATGTACTAATCACAGGTCGAATAGTTTTACATTAGCGTCAACTTATCTCAATCCTCCCCCTTATTGGCATGTGTGCCAGCAATGTGAGCAAGTTGTATTGGGCTAAACAAAAAATCGTTCAAATTAAAAAAGAGAAAACGAGTAATGTGGGTTTAGGGTGGGTGGGGAAGGAGAATGGAAAGAAAGGAAAACTTTGGTTCGCTGAGAGGTTAAAGATTAGCCTAGCTAGTAGCCAGCATGACTTTGCTGATTGATAAACTTTTTTCACAATTCTGTCACCATTTCAAGCTTTCCTTTTGTATCATTTTTGTGGTTTCTGATGCATATTGATATATATAAGAAGAAATTTAAAAATGTATATGATCAACATTAGATTCAATTTGTATTTTGTCAAAGTCCCAAATTGGTTGGAGGTTTGGGTTGTAATACATAGTTTTGGATACCATAACTCTAACTCTGGACGTCTTCATGATCTCATGGTTTAAAGTCTATTTTCTTAATATAGTATCAGAGTTAGAGTTAGACTCATTCCTAATCTTGATTTACTCAATGTTAAGCCTCCATGTTATGGTATCCCTGCTCTGACCTTGGACGTAACATGGTGTTGGAATCCAACATTGGTTGAGGATATGAGTTATGAACTCTTTATATTGTTTTGGTCAATCCTTATCTCATAAACAACCTTTTGGAGTTGAGTTAGGCCGAAGGCCCACTTTTTTAACTGATTTCATGTTCATAGAGTAGCTAGTAATAAGCAGCTCTGACTTTATCTTTCATCATATTTCTATAGCAACTCCCTTTATAATTATGATATTAGGATGTTTAGAAGTTTAACTTGTTGAGTTATGTTAAGTGTTCCACATCGGTTAAGAGATGGATTGTTTGTCTCCTCATTTCACCTTCGGCGATCCTCACCTCATGAGCTAGCTATTGGGGTTAAGTTGTCCATTTCTTAACATGGTACCAGAGCTAGGCCTAGCCTTGTTATTTCGTTTTCCGATTCCCGTGTTATGTTATCCACGCTCCAATTGGAAGGCCTGGGTGTGCGAGAGAGGTATTAAGCGCCCCACGTTGGTTGAGGGATGAGTCACTTGCATCTTTTTATGGTCTTGGGCAATCTTCACATCTTAAGCTAACTTTTGGGATTGAGCTAGACCTAAGATCCATTTCTCAACAAATTCCAAATTGTGTTGAATTTTTGTCTTGATTTTTTCTACGATTCTTGAGCAAATCATTATCCTAATGTTTCTGCTCTTGGTATACTGTTTTTGGCATTCAGCTGGAACGGTTCATAGCTAGAGAGTCCATTTGGTTTCAGCACTAATGTGTGTTGAATTGGTGTATTTGACAGGTAACATATCCAAACATGTTGGAATTTTTTGAGAGTCTTGGAGTTGATATGGAGATCTCCGATATGTCATTTTCAGTGAGCTTGGACAAAGGCCATGGTTGTGAATGGGGTAGCCGAAATGGACTCTCTGGTTTGTTTGCACAGAAAAAGAATGTCTTGAATCCATACTTTTGGCAAATGATTAGAGAAATCATCAAGTTCAAGCAGGATGTCATAAGGTACCATTACATCCTTTAGCTTTACTATCCCTTTGATGTTGATGTTTCATTGTTAGAGCACGGAGTATTCTTTGGTTGAAAAGGACTAAATCATTCTGTTTTGCACCTGTTCTGTATTTGTGTCAAAAAAGAGTTGTCTTTAATGTAGTTTATGTTTCCGACTCCATTGCAGTTACCTTGAGGCACTTGATAACAATCCTGACATTGATCGGAACGAAACGTTAGGACATTTTATTCAGTCACATAGTTATTCGGAGTTATTTCAGAAAGCTTATTTGGTGAGACTCCCGTTCTGTCATAGTTCTTGATTTTACTACATGCATAGGCCATTTTGTTTCATTCAAAAAATTGATCTTTCTATAAGCAATTCACAAATATGTTTTGACAGATTCCAATATGTGCTTCAATTTGGTCCTGCCCCTCGGATGGAGTAATGGGCTTTTCTGCTTATTCCATTCTTTCATTCTGTCGCAACCACCATCTTTTGCAGGTAGAGTTCTCACATACATACTGTTTAATGAGCATATTTTCTGTATAGCTTATAGCCAATTGCTAAATGTAGTCCATAGCAGATACTGAATTTGAATGCTTCTATATATCATTTTGTTGTTTTGAGTGGTTTCGTTCTTTCTTTACAGCTCTTTGGTCGCCCTCAATGGCTCACTGTTAGATGGCGATCACGTACATATGTAAACAAGGTGGTATTTTATTTTCCATGTACCACAAAGTACTAGCAAGTACCAGTTATTTGCTTTCTTGAGCGATTTGTTAAGCTTCTATCGTCCTTCTGAGTTATATGATGGGTGTACAAAGCAGGTTAAGGAGGAGCTGGAGAAGAGAGGCTGCCAATTAAAGACTGGTTGTGAAGTAAATTCTTTATCAACGAATGAAGAAGGTCCGGTTTGGTTTTAGCATTTTAAATACCTCTATTTTCTCATGTCTATTTTAAATCCCACAGTTAGGAACTACTCATGATTCTAACTGTAAAAGAAAGAGTACTTGCAGGTTGTACTGTAGCTTGCACTGATGGTTGCAAAGACGTATACGATGGATGCATAATGGCTGCACATGCACCAGATACTCTGAGAATGTTAGGCAAAGAGGCAACATACGATGAAACAAGAATACTTGGTGCTTTCCAATATGTTTATAGGTACTTTCGCCTTCCTTTTCTCATTCTTTTTTACTCTTTTTTTTCCAAACAGCTCATGCTTAGATTGAATGGGAGCCTTGGCGTAACTGTTAAAGTTGTTGCCATGTGACCAGGAATAACCTCTTGCAGAAATGCAGGTTAAGGCTACGTACAATAGACCCTTGTGATCCGGTCCTTCTTCGGACTCCGCGCATAGTGGGAGCTTAGTGCATCGGACTGCTCTTTTTTATTTTAGTTCATGCTTAGACTGATACAGATGATGTAGTTTATCTTCCTCTCAGAAATGGCCATAAATGTATGTCCATGTTAGATAAGTAGTATATGTTACTAGGGGAAACTATAGTCAACTAACACAACTCAACCGACTAAATTTCTAAGGTTAATCTGAAAGTGTTTTCTGAAGGCAGAAATAAAGCTAGCAATACTGCCTCTGAAATTAGTGAATGAATTCTAATGAACACCACGTGAAGGGCAGAATATAATGTTGAAGAGAATGCATAAAAGGGCAGTCCGGTGCACTAAGCTCCCGCTATGCGCGGGGTCCAGGGAAGGGCCGGACACAAGAGTCAATTGTACACAGCCTTACCCTGCATTTCTGCAAGAGGTTGTTTCCATGGCTTGAACCCGTGACCTACTGGTCACATGACAACAACTCTACCAGTTGAAGAGAATGCATCTTCTTGATAAATTCTCTGAACTTCTTCTCTTGCTGCTTTGTTTGAAAGAAGTGAGTTGGTGTTTTGAACCATAGTGTTACAAAGATTTTATGATATCAAAATGCACACTCATTTCTATTCCTCTACGACAGTGATATTTACCTTCATTGTGACAAAAATTTCCTGCCTCGCAACCCAGCAGCATGGAATTTTCTTGGAACCATGAACGATAAAGTATGCGTGACATATTGGCTCAATATACTCCAGGTGTGCGATGCATCAGAACCATTCTAATGTTGTTCAGCGGAAAAGTTTTTTCTCTTGTTAACTGTCCTCTTGCCTTTGAAATGTATAAACCTACAGAATCTTGGTGAGACAGAGCGACCTTACTGTGTAACTCTTAATCCTCCTCACACACCTGAACATACGATGCTTAAGTGGACCACAGGCCACCCCGTACCCTCAGTTGCTGCATCAATAGCTTCATCCGAGCTACATCAAATCCAAGGAAAGAGAGGAATATGGTTTTGTGGAGCATATCAAGGTATGAATCTTTTTCTATACAGAGTACGGAGTTGCTTTAAAGTGGATGTTCCTTGTAACCTACAGTACACAAAGTAAAAAGCCGCTTTGGCTTTCACCGGTTATTGAAGTTATATTTTTTGCGATATTTTCAGGCTATGGTTTCCATGAGGATGGACTAAAGGTAGAACTATTCCGCTAAGTTTTAAAAGAAAATATTAATACACATAAAGTTTTCAGCAAAAGGAGGAAGGAAATCCATGAGCACAACACAATGTGTCAATAATAATCTACNGGTACTTGGCATCCTGAATTCTTTTACAGATTTTTGTTAACAACAGAGATTTGAAAGCATCAGTGACAAGGTCTAGTAAGAAAAGGTAAGTAGTTTATAGAAACTGAAATCAGGAAATTGCAACTTACGTTCATATGTTAAAAGTTTTTCGTTACCTTTGCTCTCCAGAGGCTGGTGGACACCATTGCTTTTTACAGCTGCAGTATCATCTGCAAAATATTTCGTTCGACATGTTTCAAATCAAAACACCCTGACTCAGGCTCGTCGGAACATCTCTCGTCACTATGACCTGGTAAATAACTTGTTTACTGTATCACCCAAAGCACATACTGATGTCAAGATCACTAATGATATTGAAGTTCTCAATGCATATGGATTTTTGCCTGCTGTTTTCGTGTAACTTTCTCATCATAAATAGGTCTATGGCTTCAAGTGCAAATTGATAAGTATATTTGTTGCTTCTTTTCCAGAGTAATGAACTCTTCTCTCTATTTCTAGATGAGACAATGACATATTCATGTGCAATTTTTACGGTAAGAGCTCGAATTTCAAATATTTGCAACGTCGTCTCCATATCTTATGCAATCTACATTTCTGTTCTTTAATCTCATTTTTATGGTGATCTATTTTTCTTTTTTACTTGTTCTAGAGTGAAGAGGAAGACTTGAAAGTTGCACAGGAGAGGAAAATTTCTCTTCTCATTGAAAAGGTAAGTCATCAACAAAGTAAGTAACCCCTTATTTCGACATAATTTTCAAGCCTAACCTGATTCTGATGCTAATCTTTTTAGGCAAAAGTTAGCAAGGAACATCACATTTTAGAGATAGGTTGTGGTTGGGGAAGTTTGGCTGTGGAAGTTGCTAAGCGAACAGGATGTAAATATACCGGTATCACTCTCTCTGAACAGCAACTGAAATATGCACAGTTAAGAGTTCAGCAAGCAGGCCTTCAGGTATATAACTTCAAACATCAGTGGAAACTCAAGATGCACAATTCTTTTGTTCTATTCTAAACTACCAAAAGATCGAAAACAAGCAAGGTCTAAAGTCGGGCTAGAGAAGCTATATCATACAAAAACATGCTTTATATCTGCTAAACACTTGAAGCCAATTTTGGACAATTTTAATAAATACTAAGTTCAATGAGAAGGGGAGCCTTAGAATAACGGTTAAGTACCTATAGATCACGGGTTCGAGCCGTGGAATCAGCCACTGGTGCTTGCATTAGGGTAGGCTGCCTACATCACACTCCCTTGGGGTGCGGCTCTTCCCCGGACCCTGCGTGAACGCGGGATGCTTGGTTGCACCGGTCTGCCCTTTTACTAACTAAGTTCAATCAAATATATTCGTAGGATCACATAACATTTCTCTTATGTGACTATCGCCAATTGCCAAATATGTCGAGATATGACAGGATTATATCATGGTAAGTTTTGGCCTACTAAAATTAGGTCATTTTCTATTACCATCCAGTGTGATAACTGTACTAACAATCATTTTCAGTGAGATGTTAGAAGCTGTTGGTCATGAGTTTATGGAGGAGTTCTTTACTTGCTGTGAATCCGCACTTGCAGGAGATGGCCTTCTTGTTCTGCAGGTAATGATCCTCAACACATTCCACTTTTCCCTTCAATTGTTTTGCTGATTTTTCACAAGTATTTGCTTTCCTTAGTTCATTTCAATACCAGACGAGAGGTATGACGAATACAGGCAGAGCTCTGACTTCATAAAAGAGTATATATTCCCAGGTGCATGCTTGCCTGCACTTAGTCGAGTAACATCAGCCATGGCTGCAGCGTCCAGACTAAGGTAAGGAGGAGTTGATTTTTGATTTTGCACATAACATGCTGTCTCTTATTAAAAATCATCATGTTTTAAATCATATGAAAATGTTGTAAATACAGTGTAGAGCACCTAGAAGATATAGGAATTCATTACTATCAAACACTGAGATGCTGGCGGAAAAACTTCCTGCAAAAACAAAGGTAAGTAAACCAACATCAGTTCTATTGTGTTCAACCTATTTCTCGACTCTGACACTTGAGCATTAATAACTGTGTAACTAGCCAAATTCATGCTTTGGGATTCGACAACAAGTTCATCAGGACATGGGAGTACTACTTTGATTACTGTGCTGCTGGATTCAAAACGTGCACACTAGGAGATTATCAGGTATGTTGAGAATTCTTTGAATATAAGGGCAAAGTGGTCTAAAACATATTAGTTCTAATCAAATGGACCTTGATCTTCACTTTAGTAGATGGTTCCCATGCTACTATTCTGAATAAGAATCTAAGATCAAGTGACTATGAAATAATAATAAGGATATTGACTCTAACTACACATCCCAAACTTATTATAATACCATGTTGAATTATGTGAACTACTTATTACGCAATTGGAAAGGACACAATTTTATTTACTAAATTATGCAAATACATGCATTTATTCAAATGTTTACAAGAAATCTTGAAATTGTCTTACCGAATTTGAGAAGTAAACAACTCAAAGGGGTACTTCAATTCTTGTAGATTGTATTTTCAAGGCCAGGGAATATTGCAGCATTTGGTGATCCTTACAGTGCAGTGCCTTCAGCTTATTAGAGTTTCTTTGTTTGGAATATTCGAACTTTGTCTTTGCAAATAAATTGGTTCCTAAAAAATACAACAGAAACCTAATGAAGTCATGCGTCATTGGCTCATACCTTTTCTCTCTTTTGTAATCTTTGGACTTTTTTCAGTTACCAATTAAAAGTTATTGAGGAATTTGTTTAATTACCGTAAATAATTATAGTTTATCTAATTATTATTTGTAGCTATTGTTCAATGTTAACAACTTGCATCACTTATATTCATTCGCTCTAAATGGCTGTATCAATCAACACATACAATACACTAAAATACAGTGATACACACAGTTATTGTATCACCGTATGTGACTCCATACACTTTATACATTGTATTTACTGTTAGGATTTTGCTACCAAATACAAAGAGTAGGTACGAGTTGTGACTATTTCAAAATGTATTTATGTATGGTAAATATAGTGCATAAGTTACACCATGTAATTTTTCCAAAGTTATTCAAGGATCTTATTATCCTTATTTAAAAATGTGCTAGAAAATTAGGCTACATCAATAAAATAGTCGTGGTGTGTACAAGCTAGTTGGATAGTGCCGTCGAAAAAAGAAAGATTAAAACAATAACTTTAAAACAGGAGGGGAAATAAAATTACAGAAGGGTAAAAAACATGTTGCAGGCAATACAGTTTTGAAATTACGTTACTTAAAATCAACTCTGACTGTTACATAAAAATTTATTATTGAGATGAATAGGATTTACTTTGGTAAATTGATCACTTGATACGAATTAAATCTACGTACCAATTTTTCGTTAAGTCACAATCCCAGCACACACACGTGATTTCTGAAGAAAATGTGTGGCTTGACAAAACCAGGGATTTTGGCTTGTGTTTTTCGAGTTTTAATTTAATTGACTTTGTGTACTAATATTATATATTTGTTTTTTTTTACATTGTTAGATTGAGTCGGCCTACGACAATGTATAATAATTCATAACAAATCTACTATGCTAATTTAGCCTAAAAATATGAATGATATAACTGATTAAATTGCATTAAACATCTATAATAAATTTTTTAAAAGTACTATCAGTATATATAAATTAAATTAGTTTTTTTTACCATTGTAAATATTCAATATTTTTCTTTTATGTGGGGAAGTGGGGCCTGCTGTTTGGGAGGAACTAATTCTGAACAAAATAGTCATAACCTTATCTGAATATCACAAGGTGAACTGGCACAAACACACTCACCACGAGAGGTTGCCAATTGTCACAGTGTGGTAAGTATCATTACATTAACAAGATTCATGCTTCCCCAAGCTCTCTTTGTGTTTCTCATTCAACTTTTCTTGTGCCATGCTCTCATCACATTGTAGCATATTATTTTCATGAGAAGAAAAATCAACAAGTTTAAACTCACTCATTAAGGAAGTTCTTTCAACAACACAATCGTTACTATAAAATTAAAACAAATAATCAACAAAGTTATGGCCATTAGTACTTTGAGTTATGTCTCCATTTAAAGCATCAATCTCCTCAAAATAAGGTGCACATTCAACTTCCCTTCCTCTTTCAAATAGATTATTTACAAAGTCACTCCACATAAGACCATCGAGTTCAAACTCATAGGACTTATTGTTATCCTGACTATTGAGATCAACTAGTGAATCATCACAACAAACTTCATGATTTGCAACAAAAAGTAAAAATTCAATAGGCTCACAAGAATCACACCGAACACAAGCACTTATACGAGAAAAATATTCTCTCAAAGAAAAGGAGTTATGATCAGTCATTATACCTTGAGTTACTCCTAGAAGTTCTTCTTTACCTTTGTTTCTTACGCTTAAGAATGGATCATTATGATTTAATGTTGTATCATCTGGCTTTCCCTGACCACTTGAAATAGTGGCATCTTGCATAGTTTCCTCCAATTTGCCAAAAGTATCCTTTAAGGCCTGCACATTAGAGAAATACAAACTAGACAAAGAAGGCGCTAACAAGTCAGAATGAAGACAAGAAGTATTTTCACTCAAACTTTCTTTTGCAACGCTTTCTTCACTTTTGCTCGAATATTTCTCTTTTAACATCTCTCTCATATTACTCCTCTCAACGTCTCTGTTCGCCTCTATTAAATTGTGAATTGTCACTCCCTTACTCCTCTCTTTATTTTGTCTCGCTTGCTCACTGTTGTTTATTGCAGATGGAATTAAACATGAAAAAGAATTTTTCGTTAGAAGATCTCCTTTTGGAAGGCTTCCATGCTTTGATGTTCTTGGGTAATCAAAAGAAATAGATTTTTCCCTCATGGAAGTCTCATTCTTCTTGTGCCCCATATCTTTTAAACTCAAAGGTGCAAACTTACTTCTCAAAAGAA